CTGGCGGCCCCTCGGTCGTGTCCCCCCGCCCCGCCCCCCCAGGACCCGGCCGCGGGCTCACACAGGGTCTCCACCAGCCACCCGCACCAGCTCGATTCGGGGGGAGCGCAGGGAGGAGGCCCCGAGCCCCCCCCTCCCTCCCCAGGGCAGGAGGGAGGACTGCCCCCCCCACCGCCCTCAACTCCGCTCCTGCCTCCCATGCTCTGGGCATGGAGGGGGTCCCCCCCGTGGGGTCCAGCCTGGCCACCACTCCTCTCTCCCCCCGGTGGGCAGGACAGATGGACGGGGCCCCATCCCCTGCACCCCAGCTCCGCTGCCCGCTCCCCGCCTGCAGCCAGCGCCTCCGGGCCCGGGCAGTGGTGGCCGGCGGTTTCAAGGTGGAACTATCCACAAGCTCCTTCCCCCTCGCTATGGGTCCCCCGTGTCCCCGCCCTCCAGCCAGCCGCCCCCCCCCGCCCCGGCCCCCCAGAGTGCACCCAATGACCCCCTGCCTTGGGGCGACTCCTGATGAAGCACAACTCCCCACAGGGCCCCAGCCCGCGGGGGCGGCCGTGGCCGGGCAGTCCCGGCCCTGTGGGCCCGGCGATCTGGGGGAGCAGATTGTGGGTCTGGGTCTCCCCGGGGAGTGGGTCCTGGGCTTGGATCTTCCCCAGGGAACCCCGCCCGCCCCGCCCTGCCCGCCCCCCTTGCTGTAAATATTTCAACGAAATGGAAAAGAACAAAAAAAAAAAAGACAAAAAAAAAATCTCATCACTTGAAGCCACCAGGCGCCCGTGGCCAGGCCGCCCGGACTTTGTGGGGAGCGGAGCAGAGCGGGGCGCCGCTGCCCCCCCCGCGGCCGGGACCTCTCTCCATGGACGCCCTGTGCACCCCGCGCCCCGCGGCAGGGCGCGCTCCACACTCCAGAGACAGCAACGAAAATCTCAAGCAACAGCGAAACAAAGAACCGGCGCCCATCCGGTCCATGGTCACCTCCTCCCCGCTCCGCGCCCCCTGCGCCCCTCAGCCCCCCGGGCGTGTACCTCACCCCTGCCCCGGGACCAGGGCCCGGCTCCCCTCCGCCCCGCCTCGGCCCGGGGAGACACCCTCACACCCAAAGAGGCTCTTGCCAAGACCGGCTGCGCCCCCCTCCATGTGTGTGTGTCCCCCCTCCCCCGTGTGCTCCGTCCCGGGGCCGGGGGTGCAGGGGCCTGGGGGCCCCGGCTGAGTGGGGCTGGCAAGACGGGGTGCCGTCTCCCATCCCCGGGGCCTGGGCGGGTGCGGCGGGTGCGGGCCTGGGCTGTCACCCCCGCCCCCCCCCGCCCCCCCCCCCCCCCCCCCCCCCCCCCCCCCCCCCCCCCGCTTCTCCCAGCCTTTTGGGGCAGCGCAGCCCCTCATCGCCATTTCCCGGAGGCGCCCCGGCCTCTGCCTGACCTCTGTCTTCGCCCTCCTCCCTCTTTTCTCACAAGTGCCATGAGTTTCCAGACATCTCCGGTCTCAGCCTGCTGCTGCCATGAACCTCGGGCTCTGGGGGAGGAGGCCCCCCGAGGAGGGGACCCTCTGTTTCCTTTTTCTTTTCTTTCTTTTTTTTTCTTTTTGCTGCTAGAAAGCCCCCTCCCTGGTGCTGGGGAGCTGGGGCTGGCGAGTCCCCGTCCATTCGGGGAGAAGGGGTCAGACCAAAGAGGGTGGTTTGGTCCCAGGGGGGAGCAGGCGGGGTGACCCCAGCTCTGGGGAGCTCTGGGGGGGCCGGGGCTCTTAGCTCAGTGTCACCACAAGACCCTGGGGAGGTCGAGGAGGTCTGGCCGGGCAGTGGGGGACAGAAGGAACTGGCCACGGGGGGGGGGATCTCCCCTGCCCAGCCCCCCCCGTCTCTCCACTCGACAATCAAGGGGAGAGGGGTGCAGGGGGCGTGGGGGGGCTCAGGCCTCGGGGCTGCGCGGCGGCGCCCCCTGGCGGGGCTGGGCGGGACCACCGTCCCGCGCACAGCCACCCTGCGCCCAGGTGTCCCCACCCCAGCCAGCCCGGGTGCCTTGAGGCCCCCCCAAGCTGGGATGGGCCGGACAAGGGTCTTGGTTTCCTCCCCGCGCCCTCCGCGGGCTCCTGGGTTCATTTGCTCCTAAATCTCGTCTGTTCTTTCTCCTCGCATTCTTTTCCGTTGGGTCCCCCCTCCCGGCGCCCCTCCCGCGTCTTTCTTGCTGTCTCTGCCCCCTTTCTACTCATCCTCAACCTCTGTCCATTCGGGCCCCCCCCACCCCGCCCCCCACCCCACCCCTCTTCGGTCTCCTTTTCGATATGCCAAACCAATTTTGGGTCGAGTGCATTTAACGAGAACAAAACTAAAAAGGCTCATAACGAACGTTTCAGAAAAAAACAAAAAGCTTAAAAAAAATTGTTGAGTCAAAAAAAAAAGTCAAACAATAAAGAAATTAAGATTTCTTGGAATGAGGAGTGGTCGTGGATTCACTGGGGGGGCAAAGCTGGCACCAGCTCTTCCGTGGGGACAGGCCTGGCCCCCAGGCTGCAGCGTGACAGGTGGCCACTCATTTGTACCCCACGCTCACAGCACCTGAGCCGCCCCACACACACAACAGAGTCTATCTTCAAGCATCTCGACACAGGAACCACTGACTTTGGTCCTCAAGTTTTCTTCCCTTTTCAGCTCAAACCTCTGGTGTCACCGGGAGAAAAGGCCTAAGTCAACCCTGGCCTTCCAGAAACCAAAGCCCCATGCCTTGACTGCTCCCTGCAGTTCCCACCTGCCCCAGGGCCTTGGCACTGACTGCGTTGTGTGTCCAGATCTCAGGAACCATTCGTTGTGCAGACTCTCCCAGGCTACTCCCTCTCAATGCGTCTGCAACTTCCACAGCCCTGCCCAGCTCTGTCCCCCACTTCTCCCAGTGGCCAGGCTACTCTGGGCAGATTTCACCTGTGTACCTGCAGGCCTAAATGTGGGGTCCATAGCAGAAGGGGTTCTCAGAGCCCAGCACAGCAGTGGACACAGTAGGCTCTCAATAAAGGTTCACCTGTCGCCATGGGCACACATGAGCCCTCTCTAGACCAGTGGGCATGGGAAAATTCAAATCTGTACGACTTCATGCATTGCATTTGGGGTACAGAGCAGGGGGGCGCACACCCTGGGCCGCTCCTGACTACTTATATCATAGCTACACCTGGCATAACAAAGGCTGCCAGAAGCCAGCGGTGCAGATACGCTCTGCAGACCCACCCAGGGGCATTCTCGTGTCTCAGCAGTCCGGCGGTGCTAGCTACTCTGCAGTCTGAGAGCTGAGGAGTATGGCTCGCAATTGGCCCAAGCAGCAAAGTCCAGGAGATTTTTTTTAATTTTATTTTTATCTTTTTGGCCAGTTGTAGGAATTGGATTCTGGGCCTGGGCGCTGTCCCTCAGCTCTTCAGCTTAAGGCTAGCGCTCTACCACTTGAGCCACTGAGCCACTTCCGGTTTCCTGGTGGTTATTTGGAGATAAGAGGCTCACAGACTTTCCTGCCCAGGCTGGCTTTGAACTGTGATCCTCAGATCTCAGCCTTCTGAGTAGCTAGGATAACAAGCATGAACTATTGGCACTCAGTAGCCAGTTCTGGACTTGAACTCAGGGCCTGCAGTGTCCCTGAGTTTTTTTGTTCAAGGCTAGTACTCTACCACTTGAGCCACAGTGCCACTTCCAGCTATTTCTGTGTATGTGGTACTGAGGAATCCAACCCTAGGGTTTTATGCATGCTAGGCAAGCACTCTACCACTAAGCTACATTCTCAGCCCAGGAAACTCTGATCTCCAATTAAATTAATCAATTAATTAAACAAATAAAGCCAGGACCCCACTTCTGCTTCTTTGAAACTGACATGGATACAAAATGCTTGCATTCAGCCTGGCACTGGAGGCTTCTGCCTGTCATCCTAGCTCTCAGGAAGGAGGCTGAGATCTGAGGATCATGGTTCGAAGCCAGCCCAGTCAGGAAAGCTGGTGAGACCCTTTTCTCCAATAAGCCTCCAGAAAACCCAAAATAGTGCTCTGGCTCAAGTAGTAGCGCGCTAGCCTTGAGCACAAAGAGGATCAGGGACAGTGTCCAGGCCCTAAATGTCCTGGCCCCAAAACTGCAAAAAAAAAAAAAAAAATTAAAGCTAGGTGCCAGTGGCTCACGCCTGCCATCCTAGCTACTCAGGAGGCTGAGCTGGAGAGAGAGCAGCCTGGACAGAAAAGTCCACTGGACTTCCTACCTCTTTTTTTTTTGGGGGGGGCGGTCGTGGGGCCTGAACTCTGGGCCTGGGCGCTGTCCCTCAGCTCTTCAGCTCAAGGCAAGTGCTCTACCACTTGAGCTACAGCGCCACTTCCGGT